TGTCTAAATCTAAACCGCACCGGAAATCGAACAATGCAAAAACCGAACCAAACTGCACCGAATACAACGGTTCGACTCGGTTATTCAGTTTCGGCTCGGTTTTGCTTACCCTTAACTGTAGTAGCCTGTGCAACACCCCACAATGATAACTTAAAACTTAATCCTCTGAAACCTGCATTCTTGTAGTTGCAGTGTAGGTGTCTAACACATAACCTATGATGACTATTTGGAAAAACCTCTTTGAAATCCTGTATTAAACCCTTTTGTTTGTCACTCATGAAGGTCATTTGCTCATCAACATCAATCTCTAAGTCTGACTTAAGTATGGTTAAAAACCATGACCAAGTCTCTTTTGTTTCTCTACTGACAATATAGCATAAGCTATGGGGTATTAATTGTTGTTGGGGTCAATACCCACTGCAGTCAACAAGATACCGAGATTATGTCCCTTTTGAGTGACAACCATCTACACCAATTATAGGCCTACATCCCATTCTGAATCCCTTTTTCAAAGCATTAAAACAACAATATAACATACTGAATTTGGTTTCACCATTTGAAGTGATATTATCAAGGACGACAGTGCTTCGAAGATTGATCTTGCCCAGCTCATCAGAATAGTCCCACAGCCTAGAGGATTGCACAGAAGGATCACCTTGTATCACTCTCAAAGCTCTCCTCTTGGCTCTATGTGCTTGTTGCTTGAACACCAACCTCAAGCTTTTTAATCACTTTAGCCCTCCACCCTTTGGTAGTCCTCTTAGGATCAGTCTCAAAAGTTTCAAGATACTTTTCACTCAACCATCTACTTTTTAAATTCTTCACAATGAAATATGGTTGACAAGAGTGATTAGGAAAGTACGTACAAATCATGAGAGATTGTTCATCTGGTTTTTTAAGAGCATTTATTCTCCATTTGCAGCTCTCAACCTTACACTCAACATATACCCTTTTATTGTCATTCTTTGTAAACATCATGTTTCTTTTTTCTGCTAATAGCATGAGACTGAATTCCCTTCTTAAATTCTGCCTTATTAGCAAAAACCATGCCTAATTCAAATGTTGGATTGAAAATAAGTGCAGGATTGAAAATAGGCTCACTTAGCTCACACTCTTCATCAGACACCCTATACTCATCTAGTTGAGGGCTACCAATAACCACATCATCTTTCTCATCATCATTATCTGAATGATTGACATCTTTTCCTATATCATCATTATCTAAATGATTGACATCTTTGCCTATATCATTATTATCTGAATGATTGACATCTTTGTCTATATCATCATTATCTGTATGATTGACATCTTTGTCTATATTATCAGCATGTTCTTCCCACAAATCATCATCATCTTCGTTAACATTTTCCGGACTCATGTTGTAGTCAGAATCATTTAATTCATCAGAATCAGATTTATTTTCATCCACAATCATCCTCTTCCTACCTAAGTCTGTACCCATGGCTTCTTCAATTGCTAGCCAGATGGAACCCAATGTGTCCTTATTTGTATCATTTGGAACAGAAGCAAGAGCAGATTTAGGGTCATTAGACTGACTAGGCTCACTAGACTCATTAGGGCCAACAACAGGATCAAGAGCCAGCACATCAACATATATATGCATCTCTCTAGTTCTAACAGCATCATGCACAAATTTTTTAAAGTCTCTATCAATGCACAATGACAAAAACCCAGTACTCTCATACATGTGGAACCCTATTTCTCCAGTGACCCCTACTTGTTTGCACCAAATAGTGATAGCCAACAATCCTAATTCTTGTGGAGTGACATAATCAACTATTAAAATCTTACCTCCTTCATATTTTGGTGCTGGGAAAT